TAATTGTTTGTACTATAAATTTATTATTTTTTAATTATTTTTAATAATGCTTAAGAATTTGAACAAATTAAAGAGCATTATTTCTCAAATAATATGCAAATCTATTTTTTCTTAAGTCCTAAATTATGTCCATTTTATTAAGATTAATTGTGTTAATGTAATTTGATTTCTTGGTGGTTGATATATGTGCACCAATTTGGATATTTTTGCATTTGTCAGCAAATTCTCCATGGCCTGGTACTAATAGTATGCTGGAATAGGAAAATGAAGATGGACATAAGGGAAACAGAGAGAGAAAGTGTATTTTAAGATTTTAATTTTTTTGAATATTCTAAAATTATTAATTACACTAGATAAACACACCAATGAAGTTTTCTTTTGTAAATAATTTTCACATCATGGAATATTAAAATCCACCGATGGGCCAAAAAATGTAAGAATTGAAATCCTTAGTTAAGAGCAATTAAAATTTGTTCCTTTAAGTATTAAATTGATGAAACTGAGTGTCTTACTTAACTATTTTTATCAATTACCAAGATAAGGCCTTTCCTATTTTAACTTATTTTTTCTTAATATTTTTAGGTCCCCTTAGTAGTTCCGCCACTGACTACAACAGTTTCAATTCCCACATTTGGAAAGGAAGGAACATGCGAGTTCATCAGCAGAGTTTTTAATCAGTTATGATGCTTGCTCGAGATATTCAATTAGACATCAAGAATGAGATTTTAGGCTTCTCCCATTTGTCCATGGATATTACAGTAAGATTGGGGATTGAGCCCACTGTAAAAAGTTAAGTACAGTAGAGTTTTACTGATGGTTTTATATAATTAATTGTAGCTGCGAACTGCTGTTTTTTTTTTTTGTACATTACAGTTACTTTATAAATAAGATTTTACATATTATCTAAAAATTATAATACTTGTTATATTGAGTTATGTTGATATTTTATTAGTTTATAGTTTTTTATTTTTTTAAGTTGATTATGATATTTGAAGACATTACCCTATAAACTAATTTCAATATTTAAGGGCTATCTCTAATCTAATTTAATTGTCACAGTTTAATTTTTACATAATTTGATCATAAATTTTTATATAATAAATATATGAAAATTAGAATTTTTTTCTCTTTATATTTATTTCATTTTAAATATTTTTACTTAGATAAAAAAATTTCAATTATTATTTATTTACAATATAAAATTATCAATTTAATTTCCATAAAATTGAGATACTAGAACAACTAAAAGAAGCAAAAAAGAATAATGAATATCAATATTTTATCTATTATATATATATATATAATCATTCCTTTTTTTAAATCCCTCATTACTAGACTTAAAATTTGAATATGAGATTTCAAATTTTTAACAAGTTAAGCCATCCCTCTTTTTTGTTGAATAATATTACAATCATTCCTATAATACTAAGGGAGGAATGGAAAAGGGGGAATTTGAAGACTCTAATATTTAAATGGTTAAAACCCCTTTTTGGTCCCTCAACTATTGTACGGACCCCCGATTTGGTCCTTGAACTCAAAAAATCCCTGATTTGATCCCTACTGTTTACCCTTTTTACCCCGATTTGGTACTTCCGTTAAAAATTCAATGATGTGTCCAGTTAACTAACAGAAAATGATGACATGTCAAAATATTATTACAGATCAATACCAAGTCATTAAAACACATCAGATTTCAGCCAACAACAAAATATGTGGGGCCCACCTCCTGCAAAAATACTATCTTCCCTCTTTCTTCCCATTCACACCCTGGGTTCTTCGAACCCCAGGTGCTGGGTTCCCTCGAACCCGCGCCTGGGTTCCTTCAAGAACCCAACTGTTGGGTTCTTCAAGGAACCCAGGCGTGGGTACCCAACGCCTG